GTGCGTGACTTGCTTTTTTAAATTTTGAACCTTGGCATTTGTTTATTGGCTTTATTAATTAGCCTTGCGTATTAATAAAGTTAATTTGTCAGTTAAATTTGTTTAATTGGATTTATTTATTAGCTGGCTACCACTTAAAACATTAAAACAGTAACACATGCACTTGATAAAGAATTTCAGGTGATAGGTAAGTCTTTCACTCAGTTCTCCTAGCTTCTCAACCCCAGCACCAAATCATCCCTGAAGAAGTAGAATTCACATTACGCTCAAGTACTTAAGTGTGCATCCCAGGGGCAGAGGACCAATCATTCCCACTTAAGCCACTTCCTAGAGTGGGGTGAGTGGACTCCTCCGTGGGAACTTAGCAGGAGGGAGCCGGCACTGGGGAAGCACCTCAGCAGCACTCAGACTCCAAACCTGACATTTTTCTTGAGCTCTTGCTCATTATCCGTTGCCTGCTCGGGTATCCCACAGACACCTCAAATTCAATGCATCAAATCCAATCCTCTGGTCCCTGCTTTAGACCACAACTCACCCAGTACTGGTAGGTTGGGAGATAGCTTAGACACAACTGATCAGATTCTGCCATTTATTTGTTTTATTTTATTTATTTTGAGATGGAATCTCTGTCACCCAGGCTGGAGTGCAGTGGCGTGATCTCAGCTCACTGCAACCTCTGCCTCCCGGGTTCAAGCGATTCTCCTGCCTCTGCCTCCCAAGTAGTTGGTATTACAGGCACCTGCCACCATGCCTGGCTAATTTTTGTATTTTTAGTAGAGAAGAGGTTTCGCCATGTTGGCCAGGCTGGTCTCGGACTCCTGACTTCAGGTGATCCACCCACCTCAGCCTCCCAAAGTGCTGGGATTTCAGGTGTGAGCCACTGCACCCCATCTATTTGTTTTTCAATTCTTTTTTAGAGAGAGGGTCTCCCTCTGTTGCCCAGGCTGGAGTGCCATGGTGCAATCATAGCTCACTGTAGCCTCTAATTCCTTGACTCAAGTGATCCTCCCACCCAGCCTCCCAGGTTCTGCCATTTTATTCCCAGAATCTCTTGCCAATCCATCTCTCTTTATCCCAACCTCCAAATCTGGGACTAACTGGTACTACAGGCATGTGACACCACACTCAGCTAATTTTTAATTTTTTTGAAGAGACAGGGTCTCACGATATTGCCCAGGCTGGTCTCAAACTCCTGGCCTCAAAGTGCTGGGATTAACAGAACAAGCATGAGCCACCATGCCAGGCCTCTCATGACACTTTTTAAAGTCCAGGCCTTATAAACTGTCCCACCTTCCGGATTTGTTTCCTCATAGTCAGATTCAAGTGACATGATTTTCGCAGGAGTGCCTCAGAGGTGACGTGACCTCGGTGCCTCACATCGGGAGCAGCATAGGAGGTTGGCTTGTTGCGTCATTGGCGATGCTGAGTGTGATAACCTCCACCTAGGTTGTACCTATCTCCCTTACAAGGTGGTGAGTTCCTGGAGATGGGAGACAAACTATATGGTGTGAAACTGTACTCAGGCTCCAGGAGTGCTTAACACACAGTGGGTACTTCCTTGTGTGTGGAGCGAGTGAGGGAACTTGCTGTGTGGAGGACACAGTGAGAAGACGGAAGCAGCTCCACTGGAGATGGGGTGGGGCTGGCTGGAGACAGGGCTGGGACCAGGTCATGACAGGCTTCACAAGCCACCCTTTCCTAGTGGGAACGGTGTACAACAGGCACAGATCCTCAGAGGTGTCTTCAGCAGCTATTAAATACCATATGCATACAATTCCATTTACCCTGCTATTGAATTCACACACACTTTGGAATGCTACATTTGGCCAGTTTGCTGCCTATCTATAGCAGCACAGAAGTCTCTCAGCAGAACATTCTGATAAGCTCTTAGAGCAGAAAGAACAGAAAGGCCTTTGCTATTGCTTGAACAACCAGACCCTAAATGGCCCTGGGGATGAATGATCTGTGTGTGTGAGATCCAGTAAATGTCTTCCCTCATTCTGGCTTCTTCGGGGCTTACACCAGCTACTGGATGACGTGAATGGGCTGTTTCACTGCAGGCGTCTGCTGAAGATAGTAGCAAAGCAGGCGCTCAAGTGGCAGTACAGTCAGACTTTGTGATCTTAGGCAGACACAATCACAGACGCTTTTTTTGGCAAAATGTACAGCTGCTATGGGATTTAAAATAGCCAGAACAACTTGGGGACTATACCGGACGTTCCAATCAAAGGAATGACACACAGCCTGTTTACTCCCGATTTGATCACCAGTGCTTAGTAAGTGCTCAAGCTATTGTGAAATAAATGCAGTTGTAAAAAAACAATGAAGAAGCACCTTATCCTCCAATTTGGCAGTTTTCCAAGATATGTTGCTGAGTATTGAAAAAAGATAAAAAAGGTCTAGTGTAACAATGTATGATTTTCATGACTGAAAAGGATATGCTTTCTATTGCTAAAAAGGGGCCAGGCTCAGTGCCTCACGCCTGTAATCCCAGTACTTTGGGAAGTAGAGGCGGGAGGATCTTTTGAGCCCAGAAGTTCAAGACCAGCCTGGGTAACACAGTGAGACCCCATCTCTATAAATAACTTAAAAAATTAGTTAGTGGTGTGCCTACTTGGGAGGCTGAGGGAGGAGGATGGCCTGAGCCTGGGACGTTGAGGCTGCGGTGAGCCACTATCCTGTCACTGCACTCAGACTGAGTGACAGAGTGAATGTCTCAAAGAAACAAAAATGAGGTTTGCATTCGACCCAGCAATCCCATTACTGGATATACATAAAGGAATAGAAACCATTCTACCATAAAGACACATGCATGCCTGTGTTCACTCACTACAACACTATTCACAATATCGAAGACATGACATCAACCTAAATGCCCATCAACTGCAGACTGGGTAAAGAAAATGTGTAGGCTGGGTGCGGTGGCTCTCGCCTGTAATCCTAGCACTCTGGGAGGCCAAGGCAGGCAGATCACTTGAGGTCAGGAGTTCGAAACCAATCTGGCCAACATGGTGAAACCCTATCTCTAATAAAAATACAAAATAAGTATCTGGGCATAGTGGCGGACGCCTGTAATCCCAGCTACTCAGGAGGTTGAGGCAGGAGAATCACTTGAACTGGGGAAGCGGAGATTGCAGTTAGCCAAGATTGCGCCACTGCATGCCAGCCTGGGTGACAGAGCGAGACTGTCTGAAAAAAAAAAAAAAAGAAAAGAAAATGTGGGCCGGGCGCAGTGGCTCAAGCCTGTAATCCTAGCACTTTGGGAGGCCGAGACAGGCGGATCACAAGGTCAGGGGATCGAGACCATCCTGGCTAACACAGTGAAACCCCGTCTCTACTAAAAAATACAAAAAAACTAGCCGGGCGAGGTGGCAGGCGCCTGTAGTCCCAGTTACTCGGGAGGCTGAGGCAGGAGAATGGCGTGAACCCGGGAGGCGGAGCTTGCAGTGAGCTGAGATCCGGCCACTGCACTCCAGCCTGGGTGACAGAGCAAGACTCTGTCTCAAAAAAAAAAAAAAAAAGAAAATGTGTATACACATACATACGGACACACACACACCATGGAATACTATGCAGCCATAAAAAATAATGAGATCATGTCCCTTACAGCAACATGGATGCAGCTGGAACCGGTATCCTAAGTGAACTAACACAGGATCAGAAAACCAAATACCACGTTCTCACTTGTAAGTCGGAGCTAAACATTGAGTAAACGTGGACGGAAGGGAACAACAGGCACCGGGGCCTACTGGAGGGTGGAGGGTGAAGATCCAAAAAAGACCCATTGGGGGCTGGGCACAGTGGCTCACACCTGTAATCCCAGTACTTTGGGAGGCTGAGGTGGGTGGATCACCTGAGGTCAGGAGTTCATGACCAGCCTGGCCAACATGGTGAAACCCCGTCTCAACTAAAAATACAAAAAATTAGTCAGGTGTGGTGGCAGGTGCATGGTAGTGGGTGTAATCTCAGCTACTTGGGAGGCTGAGGCGGGAGAATCACTTGAACCTGGGAGGCGGAGGTTGCAGTGAGCCAAGATCGGGCCACTGCACTCCAGCCTGGGCGACAAGAGTGAAACTCCGTCTCAAATAAAAAAACCCATGGGGTGTTATGCTTATTACCTGGGTGAAATAATCTGTCCACCAGACCCCATGACACATAATTTACCTATGTAACAAACGTGCACATACACCCTTGAACCTAAATAAAAGTTTAAAAAAGAAAAGAGGAATATGCCTGCCTAACATGCCTGAAATAACTCTAGAGCAACCCAGAAGGAACCAGCGTATTGGTACCTGCAAGAAGGGAAGCAGATGAATGTGGACCCAATCCCAGAGCTGACTCCCATCCTTCGAGCACCTCATCTCTCAGCCATGAGATTCTCGGCTGGCTGAGGGCCCCTCACCTTAGTCCCTCTGCCTCGAAGACACTTACTGTAGGTCTTTGGTTCCTCTTCCCTCCCTGTACTAAAAATGTCAAGTAAAAGGAGAGCAATTATTTTGATGTAACTCTCAAACTAAACCTTATCAAGAGCTAGGCAATATGTACATATTATCTACATCAACCCCAAGGAACCAACACAGTGCTAAAGAGTAAAAGGGGCAGAACTGATAATGATGTGTGGCAATGTCAAACTGACCTTCCAGGAGGAAAGAGAGCCTCCCATTCTCCAAAACTGTTAAACTGTATTAATTTAGAAAGGGATCTTTAGGACAGGGATGAACAACTAGTCCCACCTGCTGATGTCAGCTGATAATAAGCTAATGGAAACCAAAACAAATTTTTTTTTGAAGCAGAAAGTCCATTTCCATGAATATATTCACTCCTGATATGAAGGTGGGGAGAGAGCCTTACTTCAAGTACACGGTTGGAGAAGCCATTGTTTTTGACATGCTTGATACCAATGACAAATCAGACCTTTAAAAATATTAAGCAATGTCAATATGAAAATATAAAAAAGCACTTTATAGACATCATTGAAAAACTGAAGACTGGGGAAAATGTTGGTTTTATAGATTTATTTTCAAAGAGTAAAACACTTATACAATTTAAATACACGTCCATCAGAATCACTCTGTCAGAGTCAGCAATAATGCGAAAATGTGTCCTCACTGCCAGACATTCGCCACTATCATCTGAGTCCTCTCTCCCCAAAGCCAAAGGGTCTGGAAAAGATAAAATAAGGTCAATGTTATTTTTGATGTGTTCTTACTAATGGTAAGTGACATCTTTCAGGTGCTAAAAATGCAGCATCTGGCTGAGTGCAGTGGCTCTCGTAATCCCAGCCCTTGGGGAGACCAAGGTGGGCGGATCACCTGAGGTCAGGAGTTCAAGACCAGCCTGGCCAACATGGTAAAACCCCATCTCTACTAAAAATATAAAAATTAGCTGAGCGTGGAGGTACACGCCTGTAATCCCAGTTACCCAGGAGGCTGAGGCAGGAGAATCGCTTGAACCCAGGAGGCGGAGGTTACAGAAAGCTGAGATCATGCCACTACACTCCAGCCTGGGCAACAGAGCAAGATTCCATCTAAAAAAACAAACAAACAAAAAGACAGGGTCACTAAAAGCTAAAGACACTAATACAATGTTTTAATGCAAAAAGTCTTATTTGACTATTCTAGGGCCCAAGTAACAAGAGCTACTATTTACTGAGAGGCTTCTTTACATCATTGTATTAAGTGATATATACACTCTCTGCAATTTTGCTTTCACAAAAGCCCCAGGTAGGTCCTATCATTACCCCCATATTACATACGAGGAAACTGAGGCTTACAGAGCTAAGCAGTCTGCCTGAGACCACCAGGCTTACAGAGTGTGGCAGAGCTGAAAATAAACTTGGGTGTGTCTTGACTCCAAAGTCCATCTTCTTACCCATGAGGCCTCTCTTGCCTAATTAAGAGCCAGGTTGGGCCGGGCGCAGTGGCGCATGCCTATAATCCCAGCACTTTGGGAGGCTGAGGCGGGCAGATCATGAGGTCAGGAGATCAAGACCATCCTGGCTAACATGGTGAAACCCTGTCTCTACTAAAAATACAAAAAATTAGCTGGGCGTGATGGCGGGCGCCTGTAGTCATAGCTACTTGGGAGGCTGAGGCAGGAGAATGGCGTGAAACCAGGAGGCGGAGCTTGCAGTGAGCCAAGATCGTACCACTGCACTCCAGCCTGGGTGACAGAGCGAGACTCCGTCTCCAAAAAAAACAAAAAGAGCCAGGTCATCTCAGTGTCTTACCCAGCAGGCTGGGCTTGCCTTGGGTGAGTAATTGAGGGAGACAGAGGTCTGTTTCCAGGTTACCCTGCTCAGTACTTTGTACAAAACTCTGCTTTTGTGAGGAGAGCTGACAGTCAAGGGAGTTCTATCCAGGAATGACAGCTCTCAACCTCTCAAAGATCACCACCACAGCTGGGCCCCTTTGAGTGGCAGACAACAGGAAAGGGCTTGCATTTTATAAGCAGTGAAAAATCTTGGTCAAGCATTTCCATTTTCTATTTCTTCTTGAGTTTCCTTTATTGAAGAACCACAGACAATTAAATCTATGGGTGAACATCATTTTAGAAGTCTAATTATTTACCTGATACTTTATTCATACACATCCTTCTTATCTGCAATGTAATCTACAATTTCTTGTGGACACATTAACTTTTCAGCATCTGTATCAGGAATTTCAAACCCTAAAAGAAAAATACACAACAATGTGAGAGAGTTTAAAAAAAAAAAATCCTTTAGAACTGAACACACCTGACCCTTCTACAACAGCTACAAGTATATCAAAACTTTCAGCAACCTTGAATGCCATTTAGGTTGTGGGCCAGTTAGCTTCTAGACAGTATGCATGCAGGTTGGGTACAATGCTTTGGAGGTATGTTTGTTTGTTTGTTGAGACAGAATTCATATAATAGCAAATTCCTCCTTGTGTGTGTGTGTGTGTGTGTGTGTGTATATATATATATAAAAATTTGGTAGTGTGTGTATATATATATATAAAATTTTGTTTTTAGTATATTCAGAACATTGTGCAACCATCACCATTGTGTAAAAGAGACCCAGTGCCCATCAGCAGTCACTCCCCATCCTCCCTAGTTCTGGCAACCACTCGTCTACTTTCTATCTTGATTTGCCTCTTCTTGACATTTCATGTAAATGGTATATAACGTGTCATCTTCTGTGTCTGGCTTCTTTCACTCAGCACGTTCTCGAGGGTCATCATGCTGTAACACACGTCACCCATGCCTTTTTTTTTTTTCATGATGGTTGGGTTTTTATAAGTGGCTGGGTTTGGATAGTTAGCTTACTTTGGGCCAAACGCTGTGCTGAGCATTTTACACATAATCTCTAATTCTCACAGCAATCCCAATCCTGGGGTTCCTACTATTATCACCCACTTTACAGCTGCGGAAACAGGCTTTGAGAGGTAGTTACTTGTCCAGGCTCATACCTAAGCTCAATTCCAGACCTGGTACTGTGAAGCACTAGGCAAAGGATTCCATCCTAGTCAGCATCATCTGTGAGGAATTTTAACTAGGCCCTGCTCTGCAGAATAGCACAGAAGTCCTTTGATTTCCTATTCAACCAACTCACGCAGAAACAGCCATGGAGCCTTAGAAAGGTCTCACTTGCACAACACACCGTCCCAAACTTGGAGTGTGCACGTGAGCCAGGATAGGAGACCAAGGCCAGAGGCTCTGGGTGCGTCTCTTGTCCTGGCACACATTACTTCTACCTGGTTCACGTTACCCGAGCTCAGGAGGGGCTGACGTGCCATCGACATGTGTTCCGGGCAGGCTTTTGCCCTTTGTCTTAGAACTCCGTCTGAAGAATCAGTCCCCCGGAACCATCTCTGGTCATTCGGCTCTTGGCACAACACTGGGCACTCTGCTGGGCTTGTGCAACGTGCTTTCTGAATAAATGTACCATCCCTAAAGCTTACTTCACCTGATGGTAAGTGGGCAGGAAGGTGTGTGTAGGCAGTGGATACTACTGTTTCTACTAATATTTCATTCTAACTGCAATTCAGCCTCCCACCATTTCTTTCAGTTTAATCCACCTTAATCAAAAATCACAGTATATAGATACAAGACTGAGCCTTACCGAATTCGTCTTCCATGGCCATGATAATCTCCACTTGGTCCAAACTGTCTAAGCCCAGGTCTTTCATAAAATGAGAATCTACTGAAAGCTGCAAGAAAGGAGCACCAAACACAAAATTTAGTCCATGAAAGCATTTGCTTCCCAAGATAACAGGGTGGTACAATGCCACTTAATCACTATATCGAATTTTTTTATTATACTTTAAGTTTTAGGGTACATGTGCACAACGTGCAGGTTTGATACACAGGTATACATGTGCCATGTTGGCTTGCTGCACCCATCAACTCATCATTTACATTATGTATTTCTCCTAATGCTGTCCCTCCCCCAGCTCCCCACCCCGACAGGCCCCGGTGCGTGATGCTCCCCGCCCTGTGTCCAACCGATCTCATTGTTCAGTTCCCACCTATGAGTGAGAACATGAAGTGTTTGGTTTTCTGTCCTTGTGACTATATAGAATTCTTTTTAACATACAGAGGCCATGGCTGACATTTTATATGTAACCTGTGCTGGTATGTACATGGTTTGCTTTATCTTATTCTACTTTATTTTAAAGTGAACAATATATCCATAGCTAATGAAGAATTTCACTCTGTATGTTTTTTTGTTTGTTTTTTGTTTTTTGAGAGAGTCTCTCTCTGTCACCCAGGCTGGAGTGCAATGCAATGGCACGATCTTGGCTCACTGCAAACTCGGCCTCCCGGGTTCAAGCGATTCTCATGCCTCAGCGATTCTCATGCCTCAGCCTCCCGAGTAGCTGGGATTGCAGGCACCCACCACCATGATGCCCAGCTAATTTTTTTGTATTTTTAGTAGAGACAGGGTTTTTGCCATGCTGGCCAGGCTGGTCTTGAACTCCTGATCTCGGGTGATCCACCCACCTCAGCCTCCCAAAGTGCTGCGATTACAGGCGTGAGCTCCCGCACCCGGCCCAATCTATATGTTTTACTGAGATCTCTGATCATTGCTCTGAATGACATCTGAAGAAGTTTGGGTATTTTTGCTGCCTTACTGACAACTAAGGCCTAGACTCCACACCTTAAGTGGCATTATGATTATAAACTGTAGGCAGCTTCATGTTACAAAGTGTTTACTATCACCCTATCACTCTAATTTAGACCTCAGGATCACCAGGAATGATTCTTCAAAAACGCATATCAAAAACAAACTGCCTTACCTACACAACAGATTCCATTTATTTTCGTTGTTACACAGAGTCTCACCCTGCCGCCCAGGCTGCAGTGTGCAGTGGCGTGATCTCAGCTCACTGCCTCCTCTGCCTCCCTAGGCTGGACTGCAATGGCGCTATCTCGGCTCATTGCAACCTCCACCTCCTGGGTTCAAGTGATTCTCCTGCCTCAGCCTCCTGAGTAGCTGGGATTACAGGTATACAGCACCATGCCTGACTAATTTTGTATTTTTAGTAGAGATGAGGTTTTTCCATGTTGGTCAGGCTGGTCTCGAACTCCCAACCTCAGGTGATCTGCCCGCCTCAGCCTCCCAAAGTGCTGGGATTACAGGCATGAGCCACCGTGCCCGGCCACTTGTGTTTTTTAAAAAGGGTGAGATACACATATAATATACACATAATATACACACATATGCGTATACTTCTTTAACATATGCATTGAATACCTTTGGAAACACACATGAAACTGGTACTGCTGGCTGTCTCCCAGAATGGGCCTGGGTGGCTGGGAGCCAAGGAGATTTTTACTGAGTATCTTTCCCTTTGCATTTTGTACCATGTAATTTAAATACTCTATATTTAAAGAAAAAAATTCAAACCACCATCAGTTACCTTCTCTGGGTCAATCTTGTCATAGAGTTTCAATACGTAAAGAACACGGTCCCGGATGCCCTCTAACGTCAAAGGGGGCATGTCGCTATACTGGCGGCACAACTGTGTAACTCTACCAGGAACCTAGAGCGAGGGCAGGAAGGAAACACTGTCATTGAACGGAAAATGCCTCTAAATTAATGCACAAGCCTATAGGTAACCTTCACAGAAGTTTTAGGGCTGTAGAGAACGCACAGCATTGTGGCCGTTAGGACACACCAAGTTGCAGGACTGGGTAATCGCAGAAGCCCCAACAGTTCCGCAGCATCTCAGGCCTCCTTCCTGGGAGCTAGGACCGGCTCCTCTGCCTCCTGGGTTCAACCCTCAGGCTCTGGACGTTCATCCTGCTCTGCGACACTAACTGCCACTAAAATTGTCTAGCGTCTGCAGAATGTCTATGTCTTCTCATGGCATCTTCAGCATCCCGAGGCCTCTATAGAGTGCTGCCACCTTTAATAGGCAGACCCAAGTCAAAAAACCCACCAGGAAAGAGCTGTCATGGTAAACCCAAAGGCAATTCAAACTGAGGACCATACACCAGAAAGGTCTAGTTTGGTTCCAGCAGGTATCTATCTCCCTGACCTCAGCCAGGACAAAGGAAGCTGGCCACCCACCCAAAGAGAGGATGAGGGAGCTTACAGTCATTATATTCCAATCTGTTTCCCTTCCAGCAAGGCTTGGCCAGCCAAACCACGAGCCCTTCTGGCCTCTGCCGTGTTAGAGCAATCTCTCACGTATCTCTGCTATTAGTCGGCTCGATGTTTAGGTATTTTAGGGTACTGACCAGATTTCATTCAACAAATGTAGAATGAGCTGCAATTACAGGTCAGGGGGTTTAATGCTGTGGAAGGTACAACACAGAACCAGAGAAAACAAAACAGGGTATATGGCAGTTTTGCTCACTACAGAAATCCCTAATCTGGCTGGTCATGGTGGTTCACGCCTATAATCACAGCACTTTGGGAGGCCAAGGTGGGCAGATCACCTGAGGTCAGGAGTTCGAGACCAAGCTGGCCAACATGGTGAAACCCTATCTCTACTAAAAATACAAAAATTAGCCAAGCATGGTAGTGGGCGCCTGTAATCCCAGTTACTCAGGAGACTGAGGCAGGAGAATCGCTTGAACGTGGGAGGCAGAGGTTGCAGTGAGCCGAGACCATGCCACTGCATTCCAGCCTGGGCGACAGAGCAAGACTCTGTCTCAAAAAAAAAAAAAGGAATCCCTAATCTAAGTTGGTTTGTTTACCTCCTGAAGTTGATTTTAAGTCCAAGGCTTGGAGTTCTTAAGGCATTTCCCTATAGAAAGTGGGGCTGCTTGTTAGGGCTCAGGTCCCTGAAACTCACAGAGGTCCATGAAAAATCATAATAAATACTGCCCAGGGAACCAAACCAGTATAACCTCTGTATAAGAAACATTCATCTTGCATAAAGAACAGGTATTGGGCCACGTGTGGTGTCTCACACCTGTAATCCCAGTACTTTGCAAGGCCGAGGTGGGCCAATCACTTGAGGCCAGGAGTTCGAGACCAGCCTGGCCAACATGGTGAAGCCTCGTCTCTACTAAAAATACAAAAATTAGCCAGGCATGGTGGTGTGTGCCTGTAATCCCAGCTATTCAGGTGGCTGAGGCATGAGAATTGCTTGAACCCAGGAGAGAGGTTGCAGTGAGCTGAGATCATGCCACTGCACTCCACCTTGGGCCACAGAGCTGAGACTCTCTCTCAAAAAAAAAAAAAAAAGAAAAGAAAAGAAAAAGAAGTCAGTTATTAAAATCAGGTTTACGCCGGGCACAGTGGCTCACACCTGTAATCCCAACACTTTGGGAAGCTGAGGCAGGTAGATCATGAGGTCAGGAGTTCGAGACCAACCCGACCAATGTGGTAAAACCCCATCTCTACTAAAAATATAAAAATTAGCTGAGCGTGGTAGCATGTGCCTGTAATCCCATCTACTCAGGAGGCTGAAGCAGGAGAATCGCTTGAACCTGGGACACAGTGAGCCAAGATCACACCATTACACTCCAGCATGGGCGACAGAGTGAGATTCCTTCTCAAAAAAAAAAAAAAAAAAAAAAAAAAAAAATCAGGTTTAATCAGCAAGCTAAAGAGATGAGTTGGAGAGTATGATAGATACTCTAACCGAGCCTTTCTGAGTACTTTCAAGAGTTTTAGAGCACTTTTCTTTGTCTAAATGTCTGGTCTCCTTTCCTATTATACATGGTATCATTTCCTACTATGGGTTAAGGAGACCTTTGATACAGGCACATCATCGGCCTACTTAACAATGACTCAAATAGGTTTCCAAGTCATAAATAAAATGGAGAAGGAATAAAGAGAAAGGGGGAGAAATGAGGTAATATGGCAATGGCAGAAAAGAAGTTTCAGGTGGAGGGACCCAACAGAGGCTGTGTGCTTATCAAGAAATGGTATGAGGCCAGGTGTGGTGGCTCACGCCTGTAATCCCAGCACTTTGGGAGGGCAAGGTGGGCGGATCACTTGCGGTCAGAAGTTTAAGACCAGCTTGCCCAACATAGTGAAACCCCGTCTCTACTAAAAATACAAAAATTAGCCGGGCATGGTGACGTGTGCCTACAATCCCAGCTACTCAGGAGGCTGAAGTGGGAGGATCACTTGAACCTAGGAGGCAGAGGTTGCAGTGAACTCAGATCTTGGCTCTACACTCCAGCCTGGGCGATAGGGTGAGACTCCTCCTCCAAAAAAAAAAAAGAAAAAAAATGGTACGAGGCCAGGTGTGGTGGCTCATGCCTGTAATCCCAACAATTTGGGAGGCCAAAGTGGAAGGATCGCTTGAGCCCAGGAGTTCCAGACCAACCTGGGCAACAAAGCAAGACCTTGGACCCAGGGAGACTGCTGAGGATATATTCTATGTTCGTACATAGCTACCTATGAGGTCAACTAGGTTGTCAGCATTGTCCTCAGCAGCTCAGGCAAGGACCTACAGGGGCCAGGTGGGCACCGTGTGATTAAATTAAATGAGTCTCTGACTGGAGGCCACATGCCATCTAGAGTGGGTGCTGCATCAGGGTCAGCATGAGGCAGTAAGGTGGTGGGCAAGAGCTCAGACTCTGAAACTAGACCGCCTATGCCTGCACCATGGTGCTGGCTCTCACTAGTTGTTTGGCCTTGGGTGGGTTACTTAACCTTGTACATCTCAGTTTCCTCATCTATAAAATGGGGATAAACAACAGTACCATGCTCACAGGACTGTTGTGAAGAGATGAAGTAAAGGGCTTGGACATTGGCTGGCACTTACACAGTAAGTGCTATTTTGGGTTATTTAGTAGGATCCTGAGACCAATGACCAGCAGCAGCTAGTTTGATACCTTGGCTGTAGCGTAGCCCCAAAATACTTGATCCTACTCCCCTCTCATGCTTCTGCCTCTGGTCTCTATTGATTTCTTTTTCTTTTTTTTTTCAGACAGTCTCACTGTGTTGCCCAGGCTGGAGTGCAGTGTTGTGACCTCGGCTCACTACAACCTCTGCCTTCTGGGTTCAAGTGATTCTTATGCCTCTGCCTCCCAAGTAGCTGGGATTACAGGCATGCTCCACCATGCCTGGCTAATTTCTGTATTTTTAGTGGAGATGAGGTTTCACTATGTTGGCCAGGCTGGTCCTGAACTCCTGGTCTCAAGTGATCCACTCACCTCAGTCTCCGAAAGTGCTGGGATTACAGGCATAAACTACCACGCCTGGCCTCCATTGATTTCTTATCAAGTCAGGCTATGATATTGCCCTAAGCACTTTACACACATCATCTTCCTTCAGCTCTCCAGTAATCTGGTGAGATTCATGATACTATCACCCTCCTTTTTATAGATGAGAAACTGAGGCAGGGGGAGGTTAGGTATCCCCCTCACCCCCATGTTCTTCCAGCATGGCCTCTTGGAAGGTCTTGTTGCTCCTTCTAGCTGGATCTCTGTTGACTGGGAAAAAATAAAAGGGATACAAAATGGACAAGCACCTCCCCAACAGCCAACATGTGAGGTTTCTGGTGTTAATTGTTCTTCCTCAAGATCTACACTTAACAATTATATGGGCAATAAACCACCTCTCCCAGACATCAGAGAAGGTACTGTTTGCAGGTAAACAGTGAAGGCCCTCTGGACTAGTAATTCAAATGCATGAGGTTCCATCAGAATCCAGGTACTCCACTGGGGCCCACTTTTGCCTGAGGCAAACTCAGAGGAGGCTAAGGAGAGGGCTTTAAAGGCTGTCTCTACAAACTGCCGACTGGTCCACTCTACACAGGCAGCCCAGACCTCTCAAACTCAACAGTTTGGAAATGAACTCCTGACCTGTCTCCAAAACTCCTGCTTAGAGACCTCTGTTCCTTCTCCACCACCTGGGGCTTATTCCTTCAATAAGCCCTGCTTCATGTTCACTCCCTATGACCTTGGCAGAGAACATCCACAATTCCTCACTGCAGCACGCAGCTCCCTTCATGATATGCTCACTCTCTTCCCCCCAACAATGTTCCCTTCCAGACACCCTAAGAGTCAACCACAAGGGCTCTTCCTGGTCTCTGCACAGGCCTTCAAGATCATGTTTGCTGAGAGGTTGGTCAAGTACCTCTTTTTGCTTCTGCACTACACACACCTGTTCTCACAATGTCTTGCCTTTATCTATTTACATGACTGTCTCAGAAGCCTGAGAACTTAACCTGTGTGCCAAGAACTGTGCAATTGGCTGGAAATGCAAAGATGAATATGACACAACCTTCCCCCCAGAGAAGCTTACACTCTAATGGAAAAGACCAATCCACAGATCATTTTAGCTGAAATAAAAATATGGCAAGCACCACGACAGAAGTATCTGTAGGCTGATGCAATAACAAAGGTCGTCACTCAGTCCTTGAGTGGCCAGGAAGGAGGATGCCAGACTTGGCATCTTGGCTCACTGGCAATCTCGGCTCACTGCAACCTCCGCCTCCCAGGTTCAAGCGATTCTCCTGCCTCAGCCTCCTGAGTAGCTGGGACTACAGGCGCGTGCCATCACGCCCGGCTAATTTTTTTAATTTTTAGTAGAGAAGGGGTTTCACCGTGTTAGCCAGAATGGTCTCCATCGCCTGACCTCGTGATCCGCCCACCTCGGCATCCCAAAGTGCTGGGTTTACAGGCCTGAGCCACTGCGCCTGGCCTAATTTATGTATTTTTTTGTAGAGACGGGGTTCCACCATGTCGCCTAGAAAGGTCTCAAACTCCTGGGCTCAAGCGATCCGCCCACCTCAGCCTCCCAAAGTGCTGGGATTACAGGCATGAGCCACCGCGCCTGGCCAGACACACTTATTTTTCACACTAACATGCAGACAAGGTTGAAACCCTATTACCTGAAGTCTATGACTTTGAAAAGGGGTTTCATAACTTGACCTTGAGAGTCTATCCTACCTTAAGAAGGTTATTTTTATTCTCAATTGCACTTCAGAGTCATCTGGAGAGCCTAGAACAACAACAACAGGCCGTACGCGGTGGTTCACGCCTGTAATCGCAGCACTTTGGGAGGCCAAGGCTGGTGGACTGCGAGGTCAGGAGTTGGAGACCAGCCTGGCCAATATGATGAAACCCCGTCTCTACTAAAAATACAAAAATTAGCCAGGCATGGTGGTGGGCGCCTGTAGTCCCAAATACTCGGGAGGCTGAGGGAGGAGAATCGCTTGAACCTGACAGGCGAAAGTTGCCGTGAACCGGAGGTTGCAGTGAGCCGAGATCACGCCACTGCACTCCAGCCTGGGCTAGAGCGAGACTCTGTCTCAAAAACACCACCACCACCACCACCACCACCATGGCAGGGCATCATCCCAGAGGAATAAATCAGCAGGAAGGGGGAGGAGGCAAAGCTTTTTTGTTTTTTCAAGTTACCCACGTAATTTGAATATGGAGCTAGGTTTGAAAATCACTGCCTCCTGGCGTTTCAGCCTCACGCAGATTTCATCAGCTCAAGCTATATACTACAGGCACAGTCGTTCTTTGGTATTCGCGCAGGAGATTGGTTCCAGGACCCCTGACTATACCCAAATCCGCGCACACTCCTGTCCCGCCGTCAGCCTTGCAGAATCCCCTTATAGGAAGAGCCTGCCCTCCTTATACGCAGGGCGGCACACCCCGTAAATATTGGCCGCGTTTGGTTGAAAAAAATCCGCATATAAGTGGACCAACGCAATTCAAATCCTTATTGTTCAAAGGTCACCTGCACTTGTTTCCTAGAATTACTTCCAGGAGTCCTGGACACAGGCAGAAGGTGCAGCAGGGAAAAGTAAGGACAGAACTGCAGAGAGAACCGCTCTGTGGAAGGCTGTAGGCCAGTGTGGCTGCCTTTGCATGCTGCTTTCACTACAATACGGTGACCACTATTTTGAGACGGTACGAGATGCTCTATCCGCATTAACTCATCTAATCCTCATTGCTACTCCGCAAGGCAGAGGCCAGGATCCCAATTTTGCAGGTAAGTGTGAGCGAGGCTAGAAGACTTGTCCAGAGTTTCGGTAAGCGGCAGTCCAGCGGTGCTGGACTCGAGTCAGTGCTCTTGCTACTTATTACGAGGTCACCTGGCCTCCCGGCAGGGGTCAACTAAACACCTTTAGGCAGCGGGGCTGCGGAGCGAGCCGGCTGCCCCCGGGTCACCCCTG